AAGAAAGTGACTTTTTCTGGGTGAATTCTCTCTGTCACGATGCATAGCAGATTCCTACTCATACCAGTTTAAGAGTTAATGTGTTTGAGTTTGGATGAAAGTAATTCTGTGCCACTGTCCTTACTTGGTCAGAATTCACATGGAAAGTGACGTGATTTTATCAAAGTACAAATTGAATGGTTGGCAACTGCAATTTTGGGCAGGATTAGCACTTCTGACATTTGTGTGGTTACATTCAGGGCGGTATTTGTTTTCCTTCTGTCTTTCTATGAATTCCGTTTATTCGCTGAAAGCCAGTACTGAATTTCTGCTTAGAGAAAACTGATGGCAGCAGCTCAACATTTATAACACGTTGTGTATCAGCGAATAATTTGTATGAATGATGGAATAAAATCTAAGAAATAAGCACCTTTTAATTTTAGCTTTACAAGTAATATGGTAAATAAGCAGATTGTTTTGCTTTTGTTGCTAGGAAGTTATGCATGTTGCACAAGGACTGTTTAGTAGAACATAGAAACGTGGAAAAAATATGAAAGATTACAGTAATAAACACTGGCCCTCCAGCAGAATTTTTAATGTTTTTATTGATGAAAGTATCTTTTCATTTTTCTTTAAAGTGAGCTCCTTGTTTTTCATTTTCAAAAAATCACAAATCAGTCTCATGCTCATATATCAAACACAAGCATAATACAGTTTAATAAAAAAAAGAAGATCAGCAAAAATCCAGGTTTTCAAGACTATCTTGGAACTTTCATGTACACACAAACACACATGCACAGGGGATTTACTTACTTAAATACTTGGGCTTTGTTTATTCAGCATAGACAAATTAAAGATTGCAAATTGAAAAGAATTGTGAAATTCTAAGTTTTATACTAATAAAAGTTGAGCGCTTATTTGTTGATGCAAGAGCTCCTTCGTAAAACCTTGTAAAAGTTCTTTTTTGAAAAAAAGCAAAAGAATGATTTCTTCAGATAGCATTTTTTCAAGATTTTTTGATGGGCTGGGGCTGAATAATTCTCCAGAGCAGTCATTCTGTATTTTTCTCTCATTCTTTTATTAGAGAAGATGAGGCGTTTTGTTCCCATGCATATCAGAAATGAAGTCAACCTGTGAGTCCTCTTTAAATGCTTGGCAGAGGTTATCTTGTTTTGATTAATAGAAGCAATGCTTCCTCTTTAAAAGATTATCTGCTTAGATTGTTTATCAAAAGGATAAACGAATCTGTCAACTCCAGTGTTAGACAACTTGCAAATGAATAGTGAAGGTCTTTCCCATTTTCTTCTGCAGTTTTAGCTATAAGTTGACATGGCACCACACAAAGAATATTGCAACTTGCTGCAGAGGCAGCTGATTCGCTAATTTTATTGAGAATTATCCCCTGCCTTAACTCTAAGCAGGAAGTCTGTGATTTTTGCCCAAAAGCAGTTTCATTCTGCAAATTAATCCCAAGACGATGAAGCGCAGAAAGATAGCATCTGTTTCCTGAGAGAGACAACAGAAAGCTGGAGGACTTGTAGATGGGAGTGATAGGAAGTTTCACAGCAGAAACCAGCAAACAGAGCAATGCAGATCAGTTCCTGACATGAAAAATTATGAAAGTTATAGACAGGAAAAAGAAACAAAAAAAGAGTCCAGAAAAAAAGGGCTAGATTAGTATGGAAAGAGAGCATAGGAGGAGACTTTTGTGCAGGGTGTAAATCATGGGTGGGAGCGTGGTGCAGCTGAGTGGGGATCCTGGATTTTCTGTGACAGAACGCAGGAGGCTAGAAGAGGGAAAGATGAAAGATCAGATTCTGGAGGGGTGACGTATATCAACAGTCATTGTGTGCAAGGATGCGAATTATGGATATATTTATAGGTGTAGAAATATTCCAGGAATAAGTTATATTTCCACTTGTTCAGTATTTATATCCACACTTGAGCCATGAGGTATGAGCCTTTACAGTTCTGCTTGGCTGTGCTCCTCTCCTTGGATATCTGCAGCGCTCTGCTGCAGTGGCTTATTTCTTGGGCTTTTAAGACAGAACGCTTTTCTAGTTCTTTCATTTTAACAAAGACTTAAAAATACTAGTCTGTAATTCAGTTTTTGGAACAGGAAGAGTTTATTTAGTTTGTATTTCCCTCCAAGCACAGCAGTAATGGTGGTTGATCTTATTTAGCCTGTGACCAGTCATCTTAGCTTCCATGATAAGATTTTCCTTCTGAGAGCTTCTTTTTCCTGTTAAAATGAAGCTGTCTTTCAAAGATGTTGCAACAGAGCATGGTGCTGTCCCTCAGTTTCATTGAAAATGCATTGAAAATGCATTAGCTTTCTGCTGGTCTTGATCAATGGGCAGTGAGTAAAATGAAATTTGGATGATACATTTCCAGCAGTTTCAGGGAGTCTAGAAGTGCACTGTGGATAAGTCCTCTTGCACCCGGTCCTTTCACTGTTCAGAGCCTCGTTCTTAGATGTGTGAAACAGTAAGAAGCAGCACCGAGGAGGGTTATGCCTAGGCATGGCAGTTCTGGGACAATATGCAGCGTAGCCCTGTTGCAAGTGTGAATCTGGAAAGTTTTTGTTGTTGGTATTGTAATGGAGAAGGTAAATTTTTGAGGATTCCTTACAAGCATCCGAAATCTCATCAGCAAGCAGTGCACTGGGGAATAGCTCATCTTCAACCATATGTTCTTCCTCCTCCCTGAGTAGCTACTTGACTGGTAGTCCGTACGGTGTTATGCTTTCCTTTGCTATAATATTGATAGATAATAATTAAGTGTCTGTAACTGTAGTTGCCAGATAATGTTGAATCAGCAAAGCATCTATTTCTGTGACGTTAGATTAGCTGTACAAATCTTGTCTCGTGTGCTTTCTGATCTCCTGCAGCCAAGCCCAGTTCTACCCAAACTGAGCTCAGTCCTGTCCAGAACCTGGTGCCACTGATGGTGAGGACTTGTTGGCGGTGAGGATACTTTAACTGCCCCCTGGGGGCAGATTGTTCACCCATCAGGCTGTTGTTTCATCTGACAAGGATCCAGCTTCTGTGCTCTTAAGACTGCAAAATGCAGCACTACAAGTGGGGCTATTTGCAAGATTCCCTTCAAAAGTATGTAGCTAATATGAAGTAGAATGTTAGCACAGGCTCAGCCTGTATGTCTTGGCTGTAGCATGAGACACAGGAGAGGCGGACACAACAGCACTTCTCTGCTTCTCTGCCTGGATGCTCATCCTGCCTGGGAGGTGTGTGAGTTGGGAAGGAGTCTTCTGGGGGCAAATGGATGAGAAGAGATTTTCTGTTGAGTTCCTTATCCTCTTCTTTCTTTTTTTCTGCTTATGACAGTGATATTTCAGTTCATATATGCAAATGTGCAACTTCTATGATATCAAATGAGCATTGTTTTTATTTTTACACATGCTTAAATTCTGATATAAAGTTAAAAACAGCCCAAATGAGCTTTCAAGAGCTTTTTTCTTACTAAAGAAGGCAGAACTGATCTGCATATAATGAAATGGAAAACAAAACTGGAGCAGAACTGGAGCCCCATGTAGAACCAAAGCCAACACTGAAAGAAAACCTAGAAACTCGCAGCAATTCAACCGCTGCCCAAAACAGGATCAACATGTCAACATGGTGTTCTTAACTGTCTTTTTCTCTGATCTTTCTTGCAGGAGTTTCAGTGACAGATTTCTTCATATCTGTACTGTCCTTGGAGTTGCATCTGTTCTGTACTGTCTAACTGGAATATTTCTTACAGCAAATTAAGTCCATTACTTTTTTCCTTGCCAGTCTATGCTCAGAAATGATTACTCCTTGGCTCTTTCCAAAGTGTTTAAGTACTTGAAAATTTCCCAACAGGTTCTGTTAGCCCACCAACTTTATTTAGGTCTGGTGTAATTTATCTTCCAACCTTTCATGAACTATATGAAGAAAAGGCATTTTTCTGTCTTTTTTGATCACATTTTCTGTAAAAAGAATAAAGCCAGGGAAAAACCATGTAGCATATTTTGTTTGCTACAAGGGAATGAATTGTAATCAGTCAGTACGAACGTTTTGATTTAGAGAACAGAAGGAAGATGTGCACCGTGTGAAATGAGAATGCGTTGATATGAAAAAAGTCAAGTTACAAAGTAGATCTGGAATGTATAATCCATTATGTGAGCAAAAAACCTCTAAAGGTATAAGCAACACTGGAAAATAAACTCTTTCTTCCTGGGAAGAAATATACTAATATGACTGTTTATATATTTAAGTAATTTTTGAAAAATTATTGTTCAAAGTGCCCATTCTAAACTTATCATGTCAGAAGACTCATACTCACTATTTTGGAATCATTGTGTTGATATTTCAGGCTTCCCACATGGTTTTACAAAGTCTGGCTTCTTCCATCTTAGGAAAAGTTTTATTTTTCTGGGGATGTTGCTGTTAGGACATTATAAAACTACCATGAATCTTCTGTAATAATGGATAAAACATGCATACTCCCAAATATATGCATTTTTCCAGAAGAATGAAAAATATTTTGTAACTTTGGACTTTTTTTTTGACAGTGCAGTGAGTTGAGATGAGTTGTATCTTACAGCAAGAGGAATATGAAGAAATGCACTATCTGCAAAGGTTTTGCTATATCATTGTACATTATTTCTTGAGCCAAGAGACTCCCACTGCCTCAGTCTGTACTACAGACTCTGACATGGAGGTGAAGTAGAGTCAAAATGATCCTTTTGGCATGACTTGCAGGTAGTTGCAGCAGGTGTTTGGATAAGTCAAGAAGCGAGCACATTTTGGCAGGTAGCTTGACAGTCTTTGAAGATCGCATTACCCACTGCAGTTTTAGACATGTATAAGGAAGGAATGTATTAGGTCGTTTAAAGATAAAGTAATTTCAAAGTACTATAATGCTGAGTAAATGAATGAATGGTTTAAAAGAGCAACGGGAACAAGTTGTCTCACTTTCACACAGCCCGATCCAAGAGTTAAAGGAGAAACCCAATAAATTTTTTATTTGTTTTGTTTCAGAACGTCAAGCGTGTACATCTATGGCTGGCTCCAGTGTCCTTCCCTCCAACGTGGCTGGTATCAGCAAGGAGCTCATTGATCTGCAGCACCTCATTCAGTTCCCAGAGGAGGTTGCCAGCATTCTCACTGAACAGGAGCAGGAGCTCTACCGGAAGGTCTTACCCATTGACTACCTCTGCTTCTTAACCAGGGATTTGGGTAACGCTGAGTGTCAAAGCAAGCTTCCTTGTATTAAAGCTTCCATATCTGCTACTATTCTTTCTTCCCCAAATGGTGAACATAATGCTGTAGAAGATCTTGTGACAAGATTTAATGAGGTAAGACAAAACCTTTAAATTACTTTTTTGTAAGTTTTGTTACCTGGTATGTGAGTTAGCCATTGCTTTTGTGTGTTGGTTTGTTTTGTTTTGTTTTTTGTCCCTCAGAGAAGAGTTCAGCTGTAAGGACAGTTTTTTAACATGTGAATTAACAGTGAGTTTAGCCAACTAATTTCCACTGAGGAGTTATGTGACCAATTTGCTCAGTGAGTCTCGAAAACTGCAATCTAAACTTGTGTTGCATGTGGCAAAGGAAATGGGAAGAAAACAATTGCAGGCATATATTTCTTTATTCTGACAAAGTGGGGTTATTTTTCAGTCAGTTTATTATTTTGCTCAGGAGCAGTTTTATTTATTTGCTTTGGGTTTTTGTAGACTAAGCACGATCTTAGGAGCCAGGACAGAAGTATTATAAACTACAAATTTCTGTGTTCTGTATAATGTAACTACACCAACCTGCAGTGTTTTCTTATTTATGGTATTGCTATGTGTGTTTTGAAGAACAGTATATAAGTGTTGTTCTTTGGCATGACACAGTTGCATGAATCAAATCCTGAACTGTTTTCTAGAACCTTTCTTTCTTTTTCCTTATTTTTAGTAAGGTGATCTCTTGAAAAACTCAATAGAAATTTGAAATAAGGAAATAAAAACAACCCAAGCACCCTAAGAAAACAAAAACAAACTCATAAACCACAAAAAAAAAAAAAAACCCACAGAAAACAACCCAAACCTGACCTAACCCGGAGAAAAATCTGAATAAAACCTCAGTTCTCAGAGTTTTCAGTTGCAGAAAAATGGAGTAATTTCCTTCTTTTTGTTGTGTGAACCACATGCAATATTAACTTTTTAAATTCATAGAAGTGGAGTAAAATGAAGATGGCTTTGACTTCTACTTTTTTAGCTTCTTATCCAGGGCATTCTTCTTCTTAAATAAGAGATAAAAATTGTGCAGTATCAAGAAGAGAGCACAAAATTAAGTAGATAGAGCAGAGGAGGTAAGAACTTCACGTTTGGTGAACATCAAAGGATCACAAACTGAATATTTAGCATTTTGAAGTGTTCCTGCTTCTTGCATGTTCCCTAGATACAGGAACTAAAATATTGTAAGTATGTTGTCTTGTGTCACCTAATTCCATTATAGGAACATAAATAAAAATTGCAACTGTAATATTTGGTCTTCAGACAAAGCCTAAAAATTATTTACATTAGCTATGATTGCTGTATGTAGAAAATACCATATCTGGTGCATAGCTGGAGAAGAAATCCAGCTTCTGCTCGGCCCTCCTCGCTGTGATATTTCTCTTACCATGATCATCATAGTAAGGGCAGCAGAAGAACAGTGAAGTTGTCAATTTCCCATGTGCTTGGTGAGACACACTGCCAGAAGAGTTGGTTGGGGCATTTTGCAGCTTGCTGCACATGGGAGATTAACCTTTGTGTGTTCCGACGCTGAAACAGTCAACAAGATTGGAGATCAAATACATTTAAGTTAAGAAGTTTTGTCAGAAATGACTGAGATTATTCCATATCAAAATGAAGTTTAACTTCAAAGTTGTCTCTTAGTAAGATGTTCAGTATTTTTTAATGTAAGAGGGTTGTGAGTTTGCAATTTTTGTGGCTTAGCATTACTCATCTGTTGATTTTGCAGGATGGTTTTTCACAGCATTTGATTGAATTCCTGAGTATATGATGCATAAAACACGTAATATTTAGCGCATTAAATTATTTTAAGAATAGACTGGAATAACCTCTTTAAACATAGATGTTATATGTTTAAATAGAGTTATTATAAAATATTTACTGTTTCTAATAAATCAGTATTTTCTATCTGTTTTGTCTTATGGTGGAGTGTATCAGTTGCCACAGCCAATCACAGGCATGGACTTCCAAAATGCCTTTGTTTATAAATGGCAAGAAAATTCTTGTGCAAAGAGTCATGCTTTTGTTGGCAAAAGTCAGTGAGTGCCTGCTGATTATTTTGGCATTGCCTATAGAAATACTGAAGTGTATTTATAATGTGGGAGCCAGAATGAATTTTGAGATGACAGGCTTCTGACACACAATGGGAAAAAATCATCTAATGCCATTGTTCTTTTCAATGAGCAATTATATCTTACAGAGAATTTTTCAGGTAGCAATATGCTTTTTAGTCATATTCCTGATATACATTATGGGAATGTGCTTGTAACACTTTTAGAATGACACTCAGTTGCTGTTTTGTGATATGGATGAATTTTGTTATTGTTTAATAGAACAAAACTGACATTTCTGTGGAAGCTTTCACTGAGCACTAGAGCACTATTATATAACAAATCAATAATTAAAAGTAATGAATATTCTAAATAATTGAAATACCATTTAAAAAATGAGTTTTGGTTGGTATCTTACTAAGGTCAATTTTACCAGCATTGTTTATTGCTTAAATTCCAGTAGCCAGTGACAGAATATGAGGATATGGCACAAAGCTGTGTCAGGGGAGGCTCAGATGCAACACTAGGAAAAGTCTCTTTACCACGTACCAGTCAAACACTGGTACAAGCTTTCTAGAGAGCTGCTTGGTGTCCCCTGGCTGCCAGTGTTCAGAGGCATTTGGATAATGCCCTCATTAACATCTTTTAACTTTTAGTTAGCAATGAGAGGTCAGGCTGTCAACTACTGTATGCTTTTATTCTTCCTGGTTCTTATCTGGATGGTATTTCAATAAATTTCTTGGAGTTTTTTGGACATAAATGACAGTATTTAGATCTCAATAATATCTAAAAGGAATGGGAAAAAGATGCAGGAGAAGGTGTTTATAGTGGGTGGTCAGCCTTAAATGTTTGGCATGGAAATGATCTATGAAATTTGCAGAACAAAATCAGAAGTCAGTTGCCTTCTGCAAGTAGGTAAAATTGGCACTTGAAGATAAATGCATACTAAAGAACTGCTGTTATTTTTCCAATTCCACTCTCATTTGTGGAATAGTGTAGTAGTGTAAGAGTGGATACACTGTCTAACATTAGAGGAAGACTGTTACAAACCTTTTCTTTTGCTTTATTTGCTGGATAAGATGTTTTGACTTAAAGTATTGGAAGTGATTCACCTATCATATTAGTACTGATGATCCATCAGAAACAATTTCCAAAGGTGTGGTCTTCTTTTCTCTAGAAAGGGTAGACAGACCTCTTGTCCGCTAGTGTTTCACTATCAAGACTGATAGGAAAAAAGCTCGTAGTAGTAAGTAGCGTAGAGACACTGAAGATGGATAGCACAGATTAAAGCTGCTGTCAAACACTCCATGAATAGTAGCACAAACACTGTGGCTGGCAAATACTGTACTGTTGAGGCTGGAAAACAGAAACTGCCCTTAAGAGAGCATGGTGGCTTAGTCTTGACATAGTTACTGGAGGACATTCAGACATTATGTATTTCCTCTTGTTTTATCTTGTCCTGGGTTTCCAAGTAACAGTTATTTTCATATGTGTTAATTGAGGTGGCTGCCATGACAAGTAGCTTGAACTCTCAGTGACTTGTTTCAAAAATATGTTGGGAGAAAGGTCACTTGTGGGTGCTCTGTGAAATCAACACAAAATACAATCACTTTCAATGACAGATATATTTTCTGATTACATTTTATCTATATTCTTAAAATTTGAGCTAATTCCAGCTCTCAAGTTTGTTATTTCACAGAATAATAAAATATTCACAAGAAAAAAAAATCTTATAATCAGCTAAAGTTGCAGTTTGTTTTCAGGACTTACTGTCTCTGACGAAGCTTCAGAAGTGTTGAAGTTAATATGACATCTATTTCTGATGCTAAAAATTTCCATTGTTTATATACATGTATGTACAGACTTCCCTAGAAGCGGTGGATGATAAGTCATCTTAGAGATTCTCACTGAAGTATAAATGACTTCTGTGATGCTGCTATAGAAGGACTGATCGCTACTGTTTAAGATACGGTTGGAAAAGATAAATTAAAAATGATGAAAGAATTAGAGGACTTTTCAACATGTGGTGAACTACACAATATTTGGAAAGGGAAAAGTTAAAAACAAAGGATAACCACAGAAGGAAAAGAGATGCAGATGAAAAGTATTACAGAATCACTATCATTACATGCTGCGCTGCAAAATGAATCTAGATGACTATGTAATAATATGCTCTGTTTAATGAGGATGAGAGAGGATCCAAAGGAAATGAGGCCATGTTCATAATACGTTTGCCATGCACATATTTCAGTTAATGAAGAGCAAATAGGTTCCTCTACTTAGGAAAAAAAAAAGCACCCATGTGTTCTGCAATTAACAAGGTGCTAATTCACATGTGCAGAACAGATCCAATCAGTTGCTTTGGTGGGGTAATGCAATAATGTGGCATCAAACACTGAAAACCAGGCAAGGAATTTTGTTCAATTTAGGAAAAAAAAAGAGAAGAAAGAAAATTAGGTTGTGTTGACCTACATATACAGCTATTCTAAGGCAGCACACATTCATGGATATCTAAATGTGGACAAAACAAAATATTTGCTTATTGGAAATATTTTATTGTAACACTAGGATTAAAAAGATGACTTTCTTCAGTCATTCCTTAATTCTGAAGTTCAGATTAGACTTAACAAATACACAAAGCCCAAAGACAAGTTAAAATCTATTAGGAAAACGTTTAACTGATATTCTTCTGCACTTGAGATAGGTTCTTCAGCTTTTGTTGTGCTTCCAGTGGTCATTCTGGTTTTCTGGGGTGAGAGATTTTAAGAGAAACTGGAAATATGGAAAGTGACTTTGTTTTTTACTTAATGTTTGGTAGGAAAATTGGGCACTAAAATTAGCAGTAATGGGTAGCTTTACAAAGCTGCTGTATGTTGAGGCTGTTAGACTCTCCAATACTGTACACATAACAGTAATAGTAATATACTTTTTTACTCCAGTAGAGAACCATGCTCTCTGTTACCCATCTATTGTGTTACAAAGTGTGCCATTTCAGTAGACCGAGGCATATTTTTAAAAGAATTAGAGACA